CGTGCCACCTCGATCGCCTGATATCCAATTTTTACGAACAATTTTTAGTAAGAGTTATTTGCACTGCGAGCAGTTGTTAGGTAAAGGATGATACTACGTTAGACAGGTACATTAGTATGTTACGTCATATAGCTCCGGGGAAGCTTCCGTAGACTAAAAGTGCATTGCAGTGAGCAGTGACAATAATATTTCAATTTGATTTTTGTATGCAGGCTGTCTACATATGTTAATATGATCTAGCACTTGCACATTTACACCTAGTAGAGCTACAATGGTGTGTGGCCAGAAGTGACATTTAAACAAACAAATTGGTAGTTAGTAGTGGTAATTTGAGAAACAATGTCATGGAGTAATTGGTGGTAACATTGCCCTGCATGTATGGCTTGTCAGTCTTCTGATGTGATATTACGTCAGGAATTAATAATAACACATGCCAAACAATATATGGGCCATATTATATAACTCATTGATAATAGAAGCATGCATGGTAGAATGTATAATAGGATTAAGTGTTTTGGCCGACTCCTTTGTATATTCGGCCCATCTATATGCCCGCAATACAGTTGGACAGAAGCAAAGACGGCTGCGCTAATGTGCTTGCTCTGGATGTCTATATCAATTCTTATTTTTCTTAACCACATAAAGGCAAGGCTTTAGTCAATGTCTTAGTTAATGTTAGTTTAGTAAGTTAATCATTATTCATGATCATTAAATAGCTACGGTTGAAATTTCACATACATTATAAGTCGTTTCTTTGAATTTTTCTACAGTCGTCTTAAATCACCCAATAACAGGAGCGACATGCTTTACCAACATTTTCACATTACTTAAGAAACTGTTTATTGACATGGGGGTTTGCAATAATTACATTTTGCATTTGCCATTTTACATATACCTGAACCATGCAGCAAATCAAACCAAGAAATAACCACACTAAAGTTTTCATTATAAAATAAGTTTTACACGGATCCCAATCAATACAGAACCACTTAACTTAAAGTATGGCACATCGACCAAGAATTCTCATAAAGCTAGGCACAAACAAAATCCCGGAGCACGCATAGGCAAGTATAAACGCACAATTCACGATAGTAAACTGCTAACTGCTGATTTGTGGCACGGGAGCCCTCCTTCACAAGGCAAGTTATTTTGACAGGCCAAAACAAGACGGAGAACAGTGGAAAAACATTTTGACACATCGCAACAAAGCCATGCCAAAACGGTGAGATTCTTAGGCTCCGTGTGCCAAAGAATACTGGACGAATGCATATAAAACGTATACTGCCATCCAGTTATAAGTTGAGTTAACATAGCAATGTCAAGTAACTACTACAGACAAACAAATAGCCGGCTCTTAGAAACCCAGGCTTTCTATTTTACAATTAAATATTTCAGTTACCTAGTGCGTTCATATTTATTGGTCTGTGTGAATGAAGTACAGATGAAGAGCGCCATACATTATCGGATTGAACAATGACAAAAACCACGTAGTTGCATCAATTATCAACGTTTATTACGCATGGCAAAGTTCAAAAACTAATAGATATTGTGTGTAAGTTTACACGATTAGACTAAAATTCCTATGACATAGGCATTCAGTTTGGCTGTGTTTTTCCCCTTATGCGTATTATATGAGCCTTGATATAATGTTCTGAAGATACATCGATACATAAACAGTTGCAGTAACCTTTACAGATTACTGCCTTGTCAAATGAGACATGACCATGAACTTGCACAAACTAACAAACTTCTAATGCCGATCCCAGCTAACTACATGTAACTTTTGTATATATGGTCAACTGGTATTAATTGGATGTTTCAACTCAAAGCGTTCTAATCACAATCACGATGAACTGAGCCAAATATACATAACTTAAGCAGCCATGTTTTACTCTATACATAGCCTAAAACTAATTGTTGGCCGCAATGCGCAATAAATTATTATTTTTAAAGCCTGAGAAAAGATTTCAATTGCAAAAAAGATTCAAGCGTATTTTGCCATTCTAAGGCTCCTGCTCAGAATTCTTCTCAATTTCAAGCAGACTTTCTGGGACACAAAACGAGAATAGCCATTTTCCAGTCAATAGCCTATTTTACCAGGACTTTCCAGACCATAAACATGTCATTCAAAATTCCATGGACTTTTTTTCAGGTTTTTTCCAGTACACATACGAACGCTCATAGGGTCCTATGTCCCCCAGGATACTGCCGAACTACCTGGTCACTATTTGATTGGTTAGGGTTAGGCGAGTAGGCGTAAGCGCTCCTTAGACTCGTTAGGTGCCGAGTAGGCGAGGTATGCCGTCCGTCATATATAGATAGCTACCAGCGGTACGTTCCGCGGTATACCAGACCGTACCCAGTGTACGTTCATCACAGCAGCAATCCAAGGCCAGTACCGCGTGGACTAGGTACCCTTCTCAGCCATACGAAACCCTGCATAGATAAGTTTGCAGGACACTAGTGGATATATATACACCCTATTCTCACACCTATGTGCTGTACAGTTAGGACGATGAGATACAAGTGGGTGCTACCATAACCGGCTGCTACTGTGCAGATCTCTATTACCCAGTCGCGACTCAAGCATAATTTATTCCGAATGGAAAGCCGATTCAGAGTGGCATAAAAGAAAACACCGGGCCTGCTTTGAATGCCGCAGCGCGCGAGGCTCTGTTATGCCATTGTCAGACATCAACATTTATTCTAGAAGAAAAGTGATGTGAGGCACAAACGGATGCAAGTCTGGGCAGTGCCTATTGGAAGGTCTTTGGAGGCTTGCTGCTAATACGAATCTTCAGAGGCTGCTGCCTGGCTGCTACTGCCGATTGTCCTCGCGAGGGGCTGCCTACTGCCGATGTCTCGGAGGCGGCTCTGCTACATGCCAATGTCTTTGGAGCATCTGCTACAGCGAAGGTCTTCAGAGGCTTGTGTGCATGCGATGCTCCTCGGAGGCTGGCTGCTGCTGCTGCGATGTCCTCGGAGCCTGCTTGCTGCTGCTGCTTGCAGTGTCCTTCGGAGGATGCTGCTACTGGCGATGTCTTTGGAGCATGCTGCTACAGCGAGGTATTCAGAGGAGGCTGCCTACGTGCGATGTCTTTGGAGCATGCTGCTACACGAGCGCTTCTTCAGAGGATGTGCTAAATACGAGGTCTTCAGAAGGATGCTGCTGCTGCCCTGCTAGGTCTTCGGAGACAGCTGCCTACTGCGATGTTTTTGGACGGCTGCTGCTCAGCTGGGAAATGATCGAGCGTAGACGCGACACGTCCTTCTGCGTGCCGACTGTTTGCGGGTTGAAGTCGCACAGACGGCGCGATGCGCTTCCACTCTTCTCCGGGAATGTCCGTGTCACGCTCCTCTATGAATACCTTCTCTGATGCACTGTGAACACAGGATGCAAGCTGTACATCACGTGCCTGTTGCTCGAGGCCACGTTTTGAAATAATCTAGTGGTCATTTTGTGCTCAGTAGCTGCTTAGAAGTAAGCTGCCGTATGCCGTTTCTAGGTTTATTTGTTGTCATTTCAGTGCGCCAATCAATGCTTCAGAACTGAGCTGAGCATGCGTAAGCCAATTCCAGTAATGCGCTGGGCTCATTGCAGTCTGCATGTGTGTGAAATCATCCTTCCACTTACATCACCGTGTGAGTTACGTTACGTATAACTATACTGACTAGTTACGCCTAAAAACTTGGATTTGTAGATATGAACCTATGCGACATTCTGTCACTAAATTGATAACTGGTCAGCAAAAGGCTGGAATTGGCATGATTCGGTGAAGAATTCTTTTCCGTAGGATGCATAAAAACATGCCCATACACCGCCAGGCTAGATTCCTCGGATTCTCAACCTATATGCTAAATTTTAACCATTACGTTTATCTTGAATAATACAGCCTACAGGCCTGCGTAGCTGCAGGGCACAAACTTTATATGCCAAAACTTAGACCAATGAAGGTCAACACATCGGAATCCAAGACGTGGATGAGCTGAAACGTTTCTCTTTCTTACCGGGTTATCTGTTTTTGTTTTCTCTAGTTGCTCAGGCTTGAACGGGATACACTCATCCAGCTCCTTTCTTCGCTTGATCTCTCCAATCTGTTCTCTTTTTCTCATCCTCGCCCATCTATTGTAGAATAATCATGTAGTTACAATATTATTTATTATGTATGTTCTTTTGATTTAATGACGACTGCCCGCATTTCATGGCAACGAATTAATGTTGGTTGCTGTGTAGGGTGAAGGTCAACCTGAAGCGAGAAGACTTACTTACACCTAAGTGCACCTCTTCCTTCTGTGCCAGGATAATCATATGGGCAGAGGAGAGACACAGGTGGTCTACTTTTACCTTTGAAAATACGGGCAAATTGGGTGCTTGTTCACATGCTGATAAAAACGCATCACAGCGTTGACTGGCAGAGTCCTGCGGAAGCATCTGGGACAGCGCAAAAATCCTTCGACCTTTCTTTGCAATCTATTCATTCTGTTCTACACTTCTTATCTTCAAACCAATCAATATAAAACGAGAACGAAATTAGAAACCATGCCATGTCCAACCTTCTTGCTAATCGATCCTTCTGTTCTTCTCGCCACTTTTTAATTTTTTCTGGCTCCTGGCGTACTTTCTCAACCTGTAGCTATGGCGGCATAACCCTCCGCTGGCCTCATTCACCTCCACAGGCTGTGAACAAAAGGCTGAGCCTTGAGCTTCTAACCAACATTTTACTATTTTTGGGACAGACAGGAGAATTGTGTTTGGCCATGATACTACACCTACTAGTGGGCCGGATTTGGTCTCGCGAAAAATACCCCTTTACCGGAGATTTTGGGAACACGCATGCGGTCTCTTCGACCTCGGAGTGGAGGGGCCGGGCTACTAGTATCGTAGAATTTCGGAATAGGTAAGTATAACATCTTCCCTGTTACGGTAAAGTTAGTATCTTCCACTGAGCAAAATCTATCCAATTGTTAGCAACACAGAATTAACCCTCTTCCAAATTCACCTCATCCGTTGGCATGTACGGTTCATTAGATTCATCACCCTCGAGTTCTAGCTGCAACAAATGAGGTTTTACATCAACATACAGGGTGCGAAATTAACGGGAGTCCGGAGTCAAATACTCCCTGATTTACTGTCGGACTCCCTGATTTGACATATGCAGGAGTCCGTGTGATTCCTGAAAATTCTGCCATACTAACTAGTTCGTTCCAGAGCACGGCCTCGTGGAATTACCGTATTTTTTCAGTTAATGTCCAAAGAAAATTTGGCAGACGTGCAACTGCAGGAATCTTAAAAATAAGAACATGCATTATTGTTAATATCAGGATTTAATTTTGAACTTCAGACTGCGAACTCCGTAATTTTTCTGCGGACTCACTCTTTTTGAGGGTAGGGAGTCTGCTGGACTCCCTCCCGTGTTCAAAAGTTAATTTCTACCCCTGAACATACACTACGTGCCTCCCTAGTGTATGTAGGGACATTAATAATAATTTTTCACACCATACTTGGGGTTATTAATGTTTAGCTCTAAATCTAGCTTCTGTTAAGTTAGCTATGTGAATCACTGCATCTGGTAGTACCTGCCCAGTACGCATAGCATTTAGTGTGCGATCAAAGTGCTCTGGATGATAAAGTATAATTTTCATTTTATAATGTTACTTGTATTTTAGAGTTACCTATGCACATGTACAGATGTTACATTTTTAATCTTAAATTACGATTTTTACCTACATCCTAACGCTTGCAAGTTTGTACAAAGCAAAGCAAAAAGCAATGTTATAGTTGAAATACTTGGCAGAAATCTACCTTGTGTGATGTAGAAACCTTGTGATAATATACACTAACAGGTACGTTTGTATATCTGTCACATTGTGAATCAGAAATAAAACATCCAGAGAATCACACTGCTATTTTATTATACAATGCTTTGGGATACCATGAATACCATGTGGAAATGAAATTAACATGCTGAATTCTTTGGCACTTGGTGCATTTAGTTTTATATGAATTCCTTCCCCACAACCATAGTACTCACTAAATATCGTGAATAGCTGCCACCTGAAGCCACAGATTCTACTTTCTAGTCAATTATTTACATCCTATTAATCTAGCAATATTTAATTAACTTGGGCCATTGTAATTTGTGATTTCGATATATATATGATATCATTTCATTTGATGTTTACTATTAGTAATACTGGAATAGTTATAGAGAACAATAATTGATATAACATGCATGGCTGCAGCACTAGCAGGTAGATAACTATATATACATTTATAT